AAGCTCTCAAGCTCCCAGGCCCCCAGGCTCCCAAGCTTCCAGGTCCCCAGGCTCCCAGGTCCCCAGGCCCCCAGGCTCCCAGGCCCCCAGGCTCCCAGGCTCCCAGGCTTCCAGGTCCCCAGGCTCCCAGGTCCCCAGGCCCCCAGGCTCCCAGGCCCCCAGGCTCCCAGGCCCCCAGGCTCCCAAGCTCTCAAGCTCCCAGGCCCCCAGGCTCCCAAGCTTCCAGGTCCCCAGGCTCCCAGGCCCCCAGGCTCCCAGGCTCCCAGGCCCCCAGGCTCCCAGGCCCCCAGGCTCCCAAGCTCTCAAGCTCCCAGGCCCCCAGGCCCCCAAGCTCCCAGGCCCCCAGGCTCCCAGGCCCCCCAGGCTCCCAGGCCCTTAGGCTCCCACAACCCCAGGCTCTCATGCTCCTAGTAACACAAGCTCCCAACGAAAACAAATGGACTTCTCAATTTTGAATGTATAGCCAGGTGAAGTTCGACCCTTCATAGTGGACCGGAAAGTGCATGGCACTCCCTAGCCGGAGAAAGCTAGCCGGAGAAAGCTAGCCGGAGAAAGCTAGCCGGAGAAAGCTGTTTACATCGAACTATCCAGTCATAAGAAGCCATTATCCTAATTCTGTAGGAATCAAGACAATTTAAACGTGGAAATCCCCTTTAGTTCTGGAAGCAAATGGACTTCCCATTTTCGAATGTACAGCGAAAGTAGTCAAGCGACTGTATGCCGTGCATAAGCAGTCTGGAAAGGATTTGAACTTGATGCTATTTAGCCCAGCACAAGTAATATCCAACCTTGACCACGAATCTGGAGCAACCGCTGACGGAAGAGAAGAAATGAACAATGAACACAACATAACACAAAAATGCAAAATATACACGGACATAAAGTTAAAGAAATGAATACGACTTAGCCAGCTTGGCTGCTGGACTGCCATGCTTGCACAGTCGAACTACCTCGCTCACATAGACCGCAGTTAGCTGCTTGCATGAATAAACATGAATGGTTCCACCTCAAATATATTTGCCGTTGGTGCCTTTCATTTGCGCCAGCCAATCTCTTGGCAGTACAGCGGCGACCCACAGGCAGGATCTGTACCTGTCTCATTGTGCATTGCCACTCATTGCAGCATCAAACTAACAAGTGTTATCGTCTTTCTAATAATTACCTTACTCAGGATCAAGAGTCTCTGGCTGTGCTATAGTTGGCTCCAGCCCGACCCTACTCTCTAACTATGGTTAACCTCATAGGTCAAATCTCTAAAGATGCTTAAGAGGA